GAGTCAGAGCTGCCAGTTTGCACACCATTAAAGGTTGCTTTACATTTTCTATTTATTTAAATGCTCTCATTTGTTAAAGCCTCAAAATAATTGTTTTGTTTCAGTGTGATAAAGAAGCATAAACCTATGAAACATCAATAGTGCTTCCTACAGTGAGGTCAAACCGTAAACACGAAAAAGCAGCATTCAGCTTTTATGTTCCGCTAATCTGGAATAATAAAACTGCAAAACAGCCGAAACGCTGACTTCTTTTAAACTGCTTAGAGTTGCTTTTGATCAATAGCAACATTTATAAATATATTTGATTATGTTTATTCTTAATTATTTGAAATGCTTGTTTCATAATTGGTTACTGTGTTATGTTTTATTATGTAAAGAATTTTGAACTACCTTGTTGCTGAAATGTGCTATACAAATAAACTTGACTGATTTTGAAGAAAGTAATTGATAAAATGCTCTATTAAAAAAAAATTAACATTTAGTGTAATCACAATTGGCCTTAAACTGAAAATGTTCTGTTTTTATCTTGGATGATAAGTAAGAAAAATGTAAAAATATAAACTGAACTGTAATTTATTCTGCAAATCCTATGGATAAATTGTATGATTAACAAAACCCCTATCGTATCTTTTCATATATTAGCCATGCACTAATTATACCAACAAAAACAAGTTTATTTGGAAATAAAATGTCATTTGAATTAAGGCTGCAAAAGTAGTTTAAACACCACTCTGTGTGATTTGTAGCAACCATAATTCTAAGTAATACACACACATTTACAATATTTTCATAAAAGCAAATTAGGGACAGTATCCAGCTCCTCTAAAGTACATATTTAAAGAGGGCTTTAAAAAAAATACAACTTCTCCACTCTTGAAAACAATTAAATGTAATTTACTGCACATCACTTAATGAGCAAATAAATAAATGCTTCTAGCATCTCAAAGACCTTTCTGCATAGGATTAAGTATAGTGTTGAAAATTAGCATAATTTACAATGTCTTTTCATATGTGAATCTAAATCTAAATGTACTTTTAATTCAGGAGAGAAATATCATAGTTCAAGCTCTTCAGTGTAAAATATAAATGTAATTTTAACTACTTTGTATCCCTACCTCACAATGAACAATACCATAAAGATTGACCACCATATGGTGCAGTGGACATAGCAGATTCTCAAGTAGTGTGCATTTTATGTCCGTTTTACAATATTGATTTCCTTATCACTCAAACACCTGATCTTGGTCTTGTTCAAAGCATATTTAAAAGATTGGTGTTGGAGTCCCTGACTAAACTCAACTTCCACCACTTGTTTTTTGTGTTACATTTTATTTTATCTATTTTGGTCAGCTGCATTCATCCAACGGTGGAATGTTATGAAGTCATGAACATTTTTCTTTTTCTGTTCCGTGTCCAAACACATGTCTAGTATTTAAATTGAGATGTTCAAAATTTAAAGACAATTAATAAAATTGCAGTGATTTTGGTCTGTAGTGTACATTTCGGTGGTTACTCAAGAACATTGTTACAAATAATATATTACAGCTGTATTCACAATACTAGGTATGACAATAAAAATAAATTAAAACTAATTCTGGTTAAAGACTTTTTAGTCTTTAAAGTTCATATATTTGAAGGTATTTTTTTTAGTAAAAACAAAGGCAGCAGGGCTGATTTTTTAAAGAGCGTTTCATCTTTTCAGCTCCTCTCCGAGAATGAACAGAAGGAAGGATCAAGGATTTTACTTGCATCTATTGTGTACAGTGTTTCCTGACTTAGTAATCAGTTGTTGAGGTAATAAACAGTTGGATGAACAGTTTGATTACACTCCAGTCTCTCTGGATTTCTGTAAAGCTTATCAGGTTTTCACTGATCATGAGTTTTATCTTCTGGATTTAGACAAATGGTTCAATAATGATTACATAATCAATATAAAACCTCTATAAAAACTGAAATAATATTGAGTAATCACTGTACTGGAGTTAATTTCATTTGACTTGCTTCAAATTATATTTCTGTTTTATGTAACTTAGAGGACAATTGTCCAGATGGGATATTTACTCACTAACAGATCGGCTCTGTGTAATGAGAGATTTTACCTGATTACTTTCAAAGTTGAAGATAAACACTTAGAGTCAAAAATCAGTTCACACTTAAAGTGTATGTTTAGGTTATTTACAACTTATTTTTCATATGACAGCCTAATAATATACTGAAAGAACCATGCAGAAAAATATCAAATCTTAAAGTGTAAAGGGTCTTGATGCTTCATGCACTGGCAGCATGGATCCAGAAAGGCTAGAATCAAATTAACTCTTTCCAAGTGTTCTTACCGTAACACCAAACTGGTAAGATGGTTTATTTCTGGAGATATTTTTAACAGTCACTGATCTTACGTTGCTGACTCTCAGAGGAGATTACTCGAGTGAAAAAGTAATTTTCCAGTTATAGCCTTTCTTCCTCACTTCATTTTCCTCTATTCTAAATTTATTTATTTTAAAAAAGATGGAAATGTAAAATAAATTTTAGTTTAACATGAACCGGTTTGATTTTAAAGCTCTAAGGACTGAAACAGGTATTTAAAAAAATATTTTAGTATATATATACAGCCCAAAAATGCTTTTGCCACAGATCTTGTTTATAATACCTGTGCTTAGCGCCAACATCTGGCAAAATTTCGCTTTGCACAGCATGGTTGACTTGCTCCAAATCAGCGGATGGCAACAGGCCAAATTAGCATTTTCTTTTTTTGCCACATTTTAAAAGTTTGTTCAAAACGTGCAAGAAGATTGGATGAAAACATGACTGTTGTATAAGCATGTACAACAGTCATGCTTGACTGTTGTACAATGTCGTTTTTGTGGAATGCTGTTAGTTTCAGGGTGTGTGGACACACACCCTGAAATAAATATTTACTTTTGTCTCATCATTCCACAGAATATGTCCCTAATAGTTTGGGGATTTTCTGGTTGGTTTTTGGCAAATCTAAATGGAAACCATTGTTTATTTTTTGTCAGCAGTGGCTTTTGTGCCAGATCTCTCCTGGATGCCATTTTTGTCTAGTCTTTATTTTTATTTTTGACTCACTGTGTTTCGCTGAAGTCATGCAAGGTTTAAAGTTGACTTTGGAACCCTATACAAACTGAGAAAGGTAATCAACATTTGTTCTTGCATTTCTTAGCATTTGAGAACTTTTGAACAATTTAATGTTTTCAAACAGGTCCTATTTAAGTGATTCTCAATTTTGTGGTTTGTCAATAATCAGGTCTGGGTGTAGATTGTGAACTGAACTGAGCTTACTTTGTCATTTTTCAAGGGAAATAGCACAGTTTTCAAGTAGATCCATGTTGGTGCAAATGGTTTTTTCACTCTCTGAAAGGAGAGGCACCTTTGAAAACTACTACTTCTATTAATTCAGATTGTCTTTGATGCTAAAATGTTGATGGTCTAAGATATTTAAGTGTGACAAAAGTAGATTTAGAAGAGATGTGTAAGGGGTAGAGCACTTCTCAGCAATATGTAATGTCCACAAAGGTAAAATATTCTGACAGCACATTGTTTTCATTCAGTGACTGTGCTGGAGAAACTTTTTGGATGTCATTTAGTTATTTTTAATTAGTTCTTATCGTACCTGGGAAGTCCTGCCAGGGATTAGCTGCATTTGGACCTGTGTCAATGCTCACAACTTGCTGGAGAAATTTTTTTAATGAGAAGAAAGAATTTATTTTTTGTGTTTCTATAACTACTCTTGAGTAAGATAAGACTTTTTTTTTTTTTTTTTTTTTTTAGAATAAACCTCCTGGTGTTTGTGTGAAAAGTGGGTTGTAAAAGTTGGTGTGGTTTGAGGGATTCATTTTGTTGAGATGCTGCTTTTAATTGCTCAGTTTTTGCACACATCACAGCTAGATAAAAGCTAAAGTTTGTTGTTGGTATTTTGTAATTAAAAGTGGTCTGTCTGGATCTTTGTCTTTTCTCTCACAATAAAAGCTTTTACGCCTTCACACCATGTTCTAGTTCAATTGTTCACAACACATTTACAAATTAGAGGCATACAAACCCTTTCTTGCTCCAGTGTGGTTCATAGTACTCTACCAAATTTCAAGTTTGGCCTTTCTTAGCTAAACACAGTTTGTCTTTGAAACATAATAACATATTAGATATTCAAAATTAATAAGAGAAAATTGCTGGAGTTGTTTGCCTGGAGGGATTGTACTGAAGCAAAGCAATGCTAAAATAAAATACAAAAATGTCACACTTCCTCTCATAGTTTAATACCCATTTCTACAAACTGTATTTCATTGGGCAATTATGTGAACTGGATGACCACCACTTCTCCAACCCTTAAAAGAAATGTGTATATTATGCATGTATAAGATTTTTTTCTACGTTAAAATGTTCAAATGATTTTGAACTTTGAGCACTGCAAGTATAACATGTTTGTGAACTCTGTGTTTTATGTTCAATGTTCATGATTTAAATTTTGACCAAAATAATAGTGATTTCAATGATATTACAGTAAATGCCTATGTTTCCCGTTTGTTTATTTCATTACCACACCATGTTCTAGTTCAATCTTTGTAGATCTACATTTTATTTGTAATACTTGTTCCTCCAGGCTCTATGCTGGATCCCAGTTTGATTTCATTTTTACATGTAGCACTGGGAGTCTATCCTTGTAATGTCCATCTTTTACTACCTATTTCAATGTATTTCATATCTGTCTGACTTTAAATAAAGATATTAGGGATGTTTCAAAGCATGTTTTGGACTGTTGCACTGAGATTGGTGCATTATGGATTTGAAATTCAATAAGCTTGAGAAATTCTCATATTTTTAAAATTTGCTATAAAAAGCTAAAAACAAAAAATCATGTTAATATAATTGTAATATATTTTATTTGGAATGAAGATGTTGCATGTAACTTTATCCATTTCAAAATGGTTAGTTTATTGCTGCCTCATAATTATAACTATATAACAGTGCTAACTCATTCTTCACAGGTATATGATGCTGATCAATGGAAAAAATGAAGTTTTCATGATCGACAGGGACAACTCAGTCTTCCACATAGCAAACCTCGAGTTCCCTTTCCGGAAGGATCTTCGTGTCCATTTATCCAAAACTCTACTGGATGGGGTAAGGAGGCTTTTCCCCCCCTTACATTTACGTGTGGTCATTTTGATTTTTAAATTGCTATATGTTCTGTCTGTCGACTTTCACTTTCCCAGCTCCTGACTGGAGCCTGCATGTTCATCCCACATTCTTATTGAATGCACCTTGTGCTCAGTGTTGCAGAAAATTGTCTCCATTTTGCAAATCTTAGTGAAAGCATGTGTCACTGCAAAGGCAGTAGGGTGACAGGAACATGATCACACATGTTCTGGAGAAATTGCTCATTAATTGTTTCACAGTTTCCTGTGTTGTGTGTTTTGTTGCAACATTCTGTTGTGCATGGGGAGCCTCAGTGGTTTCCACTCCTGCTGGAATATCAGGTCCGTCCTTCCACTGACATGTTTGTAATGCGTAGGTCACGCAGCTTTCCAAAGCAGCAGGTGCACACTTATGAGTCATTTCACTCTTCCTCTGTGAATAAATGGAGGAAATTGGTTACTTGTCATCATAAATTCGATGACAACTACCTGCACTTGTTTGTGTTTAGGGAAACAAATGAGAAGATAAGAGATACACTTTCTGTAACACTTTCTATCTTTTTTTTCTTGTGCTTTGCTTTTGATTTTTTTATCCTGTGTTTCACTGTTTTATGCAAAACCGCCTCCTATTTGCTGAACAGTTATGGACTAATTTGGTGAATTTAGCTTCCACACTCAGGCGGAATGTCTAATTGCAGTGTATATTGCCGCTTATTTGAAGAAGCTGCACGGATGGTTTTTATGTTGCCACAAGCTTTGTTTTGACTCCTGTTTATTCATGTGTTGATGCTTCTGGCTCTCGTTTGTAGAGGCTGTTTTCAGCTGTTTATGAGGAGCTGTGGGAAAACTGGATTTTCCTTTTGTCTGATTTTAGCTATGGCTCATGACAATAATCTTTTTCTCTACTTGCTTTTACTAATACGTTTTGATGATCTTAATTTTATTTTCAGCGTAGATTTAGAATTATTCCGCCTTATAGATTAAATTCCTGGTGGCTTTCCTCGGCTGCATTCGTGCATTCATCTGTTGCTGCCTGTCTTTGCAGTGGTTCAGTGCACCAGATGCACAGTGATGGCAGCTTCTGCAGTTGCATCATTTCTCCCCCTAAGCCCCTCTGTCGGCATTACAGAGGGGCTGACAGTTTTGGCAAACCTTTTTAAGTATTCAGTGCCCTTCATAAAACTTGCACCAAGTAGAATTTACATGTTGTTCTCACTTAGACTTATCAAATTATTTGAAAGCTCTTTAGTACGTTTAGACATTTGCAGAGAATTGTTGCATATTTTGAGCCAGTACTACAGTAAAGAGAATAATAGTAAATAGTGTTGTAATTATGGTAAATATTTACAATGCATATATATTTTTTACTTCTATTTGATTGGCTTGCTCATCTTACCTTAAATGCTTAGTTGCTTTCAACTTTGATCAAAAATAGCGTCAATTGCAGCAGCACAGTCGGATGCTAAAATGAAACATTTTGTGCTCTTCTGAAGCGGTCTAATCTCCTGCAGCAGAGAAATGTTAGCTTGAAAAAGATTTCAAAAGGCCCCCACATTTTCTAACGACATTTGGCAAGTAAATTTAACCATCTGTCATCACTGTCCAATGTTTTCCCTGCATTTTTGCAGCCTGTTGGTGTGAACTGAAGGCAGATGAGGCACTGGTGTGGTTCACTGTTGTGTTCTTCTTCACTTAGACAGAACAGCAGGTGCTCTGGAATTTTTCTCTTTTTTGAAAATAATATTGCAGGTTGGTTTGACAACCTCTGAACAGAAATTGAATAAAATAAATTTAAATATATCTGTTTGCACTGTGTTTGGGTTAAATCTCCTTCTAACACGTGCTTGAGTTGCACATAGTTTCTATACAGTCTTACAAAGTCAGGAGAAACCAGGAAATTGGTTTAGATGATTTCCAAGGTCAAGTATAGAGAAAACGAGATTTAACATTGATAAATATCCATATTTCAAGTTATTGTCTTTTCCTTTCTATGCATAATAATTATAAAAATATTTATAATTTGTTGATCCAATTTGTTTATCCATCATTTTTTTCAAATTGATGGATACATTCCTCCATCAGACGTTTTGCCGCCCACCCATCTATCTCTGCTTCCTTCAATCCATCCACCAATTTGTGCTTATCATTATGCATCCATCAGTTTATGAATACTTACCTATTTACTATCAATTAGTCAATAATTAGTCAATAATTCTTAATCAATTCTTAACTTACTGAGAGTAAGCTGCCAAAGTTCTTCTTTCCTTTAATGTTCCGATCTGAAAACCTGAATTAATTCAGATTAATTCCCAAATCTGAATTGTCTGACACAGTGTCTCAAATTATTGCTAAAATGTAACATTATATTATCAGAGCTGTTTTTATACAGATTAACCAACATACTAATCTTTCTGATACTAATCACCAACATAGTGAAGCTACATAATATTACCAGCTTTTGAACTTTATAACTAATGATAAGTGTGACGTTTTTCCCTTCAGTTTAAGTACAGGAATGCTGTTTGTCTTTTCAATATGACATGAGAGTATGGTTCTCTACATTGAGTGCTGGTTGATTGAGGCCTGCAGTCCTTCCTCTTGCGTTTGCTCAGCAGTGATGACAGTTTGTTTTTTTTGTCACTCAGTTGTGTAACATTTTCCTCAAAACTCATCTTGACTGAGTGTCCTGCAGCACTGCCGCACCTGACCTCAGCTTGAGAGCTTTGTATAATAAATGAGCGGTCTATTTCTGTGTCATGGTCTTCTTCACTAGCCTCTTACCTCACAGTTTTAGCCATGCATGCACGCACGCACACACACCTCCCCCATTACCCTCTTTGCTTGACATTGCTGCAGGGCTACCCTTCCCCGAATGTTCGTCCTCCGGGGAGCGCTCAGATTCCCGCATCTCACCAGGATGAGATGCGGGAGTCAACAGGACTTTCACAGTGTTGTGACAATGAAATTGCTCACTGTTTGAGATTCCTTTCTATCATATAATGTTATTTCACAAAATTTGAATCATGTTTCTACCCTTTATCCTTATTTCCACAGGAGATGATCATCGACAAGGTGAATGGTCAGCCAGTCCCTCGCTACTTGATATATGACATCATCAAATTCAATGTGAGTACAGTGCACTTTTCAGAGTGACCCCCAAGCCCTGAAAATGTTCAAGGTTAAAGTGTTAGACCACATTGGAGGGAACTCTTTAATTGCCTCATTCCTCTTTTAAAACAAAGGCACTCATGCTCTTTTTTGGGTTTGTCGTCAGCAGTTAAAAGCTTGGGAAATGTTGAATTATTGCATCATGGGTTTCATCAGTTTGTCAAGAAGAGACATAAATTAATCCTGAAGAATTAAATTCCCATCTAGCAGACAGTGCTGCATCCATGCTCTTAAGTATTACGGTAGCTTTCTTAATCTGCAACATGAGATGGATAGCATTATGCTGTTCTCACACACAGAGAGAGCTCCTTGCAAAAATATTGATACTGCTGTAATTTTCTCACGTTATAACAAGCTGTAATTGTTATTAAGCTGCAGTTAAAGCAAAAGTTGGTTTTACAAAGCATTCACTAATGGGAGCTGGATGCAGATACTCACCACATTTTGTCAGTTGTTTGATTTGGTTTATACTTGTGGGTTTTTATTAGTTGGCCCATCACATGAAAACTACAATAAAATGCATTGAAGGTTATCATTGTAACATTACAGAATGCGGAAAAAATTAGCATTTGCAATTTAAGCAAGACTTTTCCTTAGTACTGTGGAAGAACTGGTTTCTGGTTACTACTATTATTGCACAATTTTAGCAGCTTGAGAACAAACCAAGTCACTGGTTAATTGTCCTCAGTCTCCTGAACTGTAAATTCTGGCTGGATCCCACTAATGACAAAAAGGCAGTCAGTCGACTTACTGAGCTTGCATTGTGACCTTGGAAAACCTTTGCAATCCTCCTTTCGGAGAACTCAATGAACACCTCAAGATGAAGGGTGGAAGAGGTAGCCATCATGTTTTTCTGTCGTCTCCTTTTTTCTCTATCGATCCGAGAATCACATGATCAAGTTGGCTCAATGAAAGCTCCAGTGGTGAGAGGAATGGCTGCAGGATGGTGGAGGAGTTAGCATTTCCATGGGACTCCCACCGAGCCATCAGTAAAGCGCTGTTATATTGATTCTTGCTTGCCATTATTGGCCTTAACCATTATCTGTTTGGCTGTGTCTCGGCACTCTGGGATGGTCCTGAGAGAGGTGAGTAATGCAGCTGGAGCAAGACGACACCAGTTTGACTCCTGCCCTAAAAGTACTTACAAAGCTGGCTGACGGTTTGCTTCTTTATATGAATGCATTCTTTCACTGCACTCAGTGATTTTACAGTGCTGTGTAAAAGTATTTGCACCCTTGTCAATTTAAATTAGACTTTTTAAGGTTACATTTAAATGATTCAGACTATCGAGCAAAATCCTAGCATCAAAAATGTATAAATAAATAATTTTATTCATTGAAGGAGAAAAAAAATATTAAAAACAGCCTGGTTCTTTGTGCAAATGTGATTGCCTCCCTTCATAAATAACTAATTAACTCTAATTGGCCACATATTTTTCATAATTTCACCAACAACCACAGGCATTATTAAAGCAACACCTACAAGAAGTCACATAAATAGAACTTCCCTGATTGCATATAGTCAAACACTGTGGTGATAGTTTGATGTTATGAGACTGCTTGTCTGCTTCAGGAGGTGGAAAACTTAAAATTGATGGAACAAGAAAGTTTGCTCTGTGTCAAAGGAGGATATCTACCCTGTGTCTGTTTATAATCTTCAGCTCAAACTCACTTTGGTTATGTTTCATTTAGGGCAGTGAGCAAAAGCACAGCAGCAAGCCCACCTAATAAAGAAACTACCACATAATGATTTATGAGTTTCTTTGAATTCCAGACTAAAATCTGATTGAGCAGCTTTAGCATTCGAGTATAATTGGCCTTTTAAACAGGCCATTTAATTTTTAAAATGGTCCACTGTGGCTGAAATCAAATAATTTTGCAAGAAAAAGGGGACAAAGCTCCTTCACGTGTCTAATATTAGCACTTGTACAGTGATCTGAAACATTTAACGAAGACAAAAAAAAAAGCAAGTACAGAAGAGGATCTGTAAGGTGGTAAATAAATGTTTTAGCTGGATTTTATTTGTTGTGAAAGAAGTGTCCCTGACCAGCTTAGAGTTGAGTTTTATTCATGTCAGCGACCTTTACTTTATTTGTCAACCATTCTAGTATTTACGATTCCCCTGAAGCAATCTGATTAACCCTGATTGTCACCCTCTCACACCAAATGTGTTTTCTTTTGGTGTTCTATCTCTAGAACTCTAAAAGACATAGTTTTTAAAAAAAACTTTTTTCAGGTTGTCAGTCATTGTCAGCTCCCCCACAGTGGGAGAGGTGACAAGACAATACAAATTACATACGTTTCCCTTTTATTTTTTTTTTAATGCCGTTGAAAGCTGGTGTTTTGGACTTGATCGTCGCCCACATGCTGACACTTTGATTGACCTCATTATTTTTCAAGTTGGTGAAGTAATTTTGCTTTAGGTGCGGAATTGGGCAAGATAATTGGATCAGCTTGATTAACAATTGAATAGAAAGGAGAGCACATAACAGCGACTGTGGTGTCATTTGTTAAAGAGGGGTTTACTGGTATCAGTTTGTGTTACTTCTGCTGTTTGTGTTACGTTTTCTCTTTCTCTCAGTTATGGGCAATTAAATTAAAGACTTTTCCTCTTTCTCACCACATACCTTGTTTTTTTGTTATGAACCTTTGATAGTAATAAAAGCTAATACATCGTCCAGTTCCTATCAGTGATTCCTATTCCTTGCTGGAACAATATTTTATTGAAGACGAAATTGTACAGACTGAACTTTGACATTCATAATGATTGTGTCCTATTATTAGCCACTTTCTTTTAGCACTCTTTACCTTTTAAAGCCATTGTTGTTAAGGTTATTCATAAATTCTAAATGGGCTTTGCAGCCTAACTGCTGTTCTTCTCTTCTTCTTTATAGTAATTCCAGAAATTAACTTCTTTAAAATAAAATAAAATAAAATAAAAACATAGCTTTTTCTTAAAGCTGTTCACGGTGGCAAGCGTGTGACCTGTTCAGGAAATCTGGATTTCTCTCTCCAGATTTTTACCCAGAGTTTTTCTGGTATTTTCATTCTTTTAGTCTGTGTTTTTTGCATAACTTAAAATGGGAAATTTTGCATTGGAAGTTTAAAAGTTGCACTGTTTCTGTGCCTTATTTATTTGTCCAATTGCATGTTTGTCTTTTGTTGGGCTTACTCTTGGTACTGTAAGAAAATATGGCTGTTCATCTCTATTGACACATCAATTTCAAGCATCCAAATCAATATTAAATTTAATTACTGTTTAACTCTCTTTTTTTAAGCAATTGTTGGTTAGATTTGATTATGCTGTCAACAAAAACAAACTAAAACTAATTCAGTGCCATACAGAGGCCAGGCTCTGAATATTGTCTTGTTAAAATTATCTTATTTGATGGTGACTTTGAAAACCTTGAGAATAATTCAGCTATCAAAAGCAGCTAGTTGCATAGGCTGATGAGACAAGCCCTCAAATCATAGAAACTAAAATCATTTAATTCTTGAGATGGTAAATAAGATTTTAGCTTTGAAGAAACCAAAGATGTAGAGGTAAAAGAGGTCTAGAAAATGGATGAGGGAGTCTTTTGTAACCACCAGGTTATTGCCTCCTCTAGTGGAACAATCTATTTTATTCCTCATAATGCGGCAAAATGACCGCAGCGTTAGCGGCGAGGGATTTTATCTGCATGTAGATGGTTATTATGACATCAGTGTTTGAATTTCATTTGGATGTTTAACAGCAGGGTGTAGTTTTGGAGATTTATGAAAGGATTTATGTTGTTTTTAGTGCAACAATCACACTTTGGTGATGATTTGGTAATCATTCTTATTTTTATGTAAGTAAATGTCCTGATGTTATGACATTAGTGCCACAGCCCTTTATTTATGTGCTGCATTTACTAAGAATGTAAACAAAGAATAGTATTAAATCAGAATCGGTTAGAGATTTCTATACCTTCTGAAACCGTTAGATACCTGTAGACATACTGATGAGGCAAGGATGAGCTATTTGTGAGTTTGTTTCAAAAAGGAGAAAAAGTCTCTTAAGACGTAGGCAGCCTACCCAATACTGCAGTGACTCATAGAAAAGCAGAATCACACCTCAGGATCTCTGGTTGTGTAACTAGATAGACCACTCATAAATCTCTAACTATGACCTGTTAGTTAATTTTTTTTTTTAACACAAATCTGTCATCCTGTGCCAAGGAGAGAGATACCAACTGTTCCCCACAGACACAGGTGGAAGGTGGAAGAATAAAACTGCAGGCAGTTGATGTTTTCAAGGTCTGGTTCAGACTTTAATTTTCCCGGCATAAAAGATAAAAAAGCTTACGTTAATCGTCTGCTTCTTCTTATTTATTGCCTTGGAGGAAGGTGCTCACTTATTGATTTATGTGCTTTAGACTTAGAGGGAAGATAAAGTGGAATTCTTAAAGTGCTGCCTTTTTTTTCTACCCTTCTTATTTTAACCATCATCTCAGAAAAAGAAAAACCTGTTATCTGCATTAAAACTCTCCCATGGAAGAATAATTGTGTAAATACATTTTTGAAAGTCTGTTGTAATACCACAAAATATTGCTTTTAAATGGAAAGCAGGTTGGGAGGTGCTGTGAGTCTGTAATTGCTTTTTTTTGTTCGCCTGGAATGGTCAAAAAGTGTACAATTTTTTTGTAAAGAACATCTAATGGGAGGCAGCATATTGTTGATTGGTCCCAATGTTGATTCTGGTCATCAGTGTTTGCTGCTGTTTATCTAAAAATATGGAGAACAGAATTCCCAGCACTGTCACTTATTTTCATCCCCTGCAGTTTTCCAGTTAATCCATTATCCTCCCCAAACTCACACTGAATCTCCTTTTATTTTTGGTTCTGCTACTTACAGTGGTTCTTTTTATTTTTCCTTATGCATTTAATTTCTGTATGTCTAGTTGTTTCCACTTTTTATCTTTGACAAGCTCTTTACAAAAATGGTGTTTCAAATATGTTGACTTGGATTTGACTAACAGCACTGTTCTGCCCACTTCATGTCATGTAGGGTTAGGCACAGTGTTTCAAATTAATACAAAGGTATATCAATTTTGAAAATATGTTTTTATTTACATTTAAGAAATTCTGAACTGTTCTTTGCTGATATAATACCAGTCCAGTCCTCATGTTTGCTGGCAAGTGTTTTACAAGTTTTTACTGTTAATTTCACTGGTGACTCATTGCAAAATATGAATAGCCTTTTTGCTGTGAGTCGCCAGTGAAAAACCTCTCCAATTCTCGAAAATTCTCATTTTTGCAGTTCAGAACAAATTTCTTCACACCTCTGGATTTTGGTGTAAAATTATTTTCAATAAGCAAATACGTTTGTTTTTAATTGAAAAATAGACAATAACAATAACACACAGTAAAAGATGCCTAGTTTCCATTAACATTTCATGAAATAAAAATTATTTGTACCTTTTCAATTATCAATTGGGAGACATCTTCAATAGCATTGTATTAATGCGATTGAAGTGACTGTGATTTAATTGCTAATCAACTCTTCCACGGGTGTTTTGGTCTCAAAATAAATCAGTTCTCGCTCGTTCTTTGTATTAGAGTTATAATCATAAAAAAAAGTCTGACTTCACTTCAGTTTTGTTTGCATGTCATGATGAAGGAAGTTTTGCTAATAGTTTTTTCAGAGGTGTTTGTGTTGTTTCCTTCAGAGGTTCTTGGTGCATCGCCACGACAGGCAAGGGGAGAAACTGTTTTTTTTTTTCTTTAGGGTTTAGCTCATTTGACACAGGGCAGTGTGAAAATGAATTGCACCTGCTGAAAGTGTAACTAATATTGTAGGTTAGTCTACCAGACTATTAAGGTCTGAAAACACCCTCAATATGACATGATTGTTTTCGATTGAGACATTTGTCATAAAAATCAATTAAATTAGGTTTTGATTTAATATATCACAGTATAGGGAAGGTTTCTGGATCTGAGCCTATCCTTATTTTTATTGTTTTGGCACATCTGCCAAAGAAGCAGTGACCATCTATACTGTACATTGAACATGCAAGGAAATTACTTGTATGAGGAAAGTCTTATTCAAGCAGCACGTATGAATGTCGGTGTCGAGTTTGCAGAGGGAATGTGTGGAATCAATATCAGAGCCGATGAAAACATGTCTGAGTAGATTTGTATTAACTGTGTCAATCATTGCTACACCTCCAGAAAAAGTAAATAATATTCTTGTCAAACACTTCCTCAGTGCTTTTCAAATCAGTGATGATTGTGAAACCACTCTATGAATGCCTGACATATTTATATTTTCCCAAACAGACACATTCAGTCCTCAGAATCATAACAGAAACTGATAAATCAAGATGTCTCTGTGATTCGACTAGTAAAACCGAGCTTCTGTCCCCAGTGACGTTTCCCCAACAAGATTTTTCCTTTGCTGTGTTTTCCTCTTGAGCTGGCATGGACAACACAAGCCTTGAATCATCCACACTTACATCTTGTCCTTTCCTCATGACACAGCTGACAGATGGTGCTAAATGTGTGGGACATGATACCAGCTGTTGCTCCAGGAGAAAGTAGTGTTACTGCTGTCACCTTGTGTGGAAAAACAAGCAAGTTATGATTTCTATATTGAAAAAATTTCTCTAAAATAACTTCTATTTCTATAAAATGACTTGTACATCGACAAGCAACATTGTCAAAACAGTCTAAAATTAAACAAAGGTCATGAAGACATGGTTCTTGATATATCAAAATGTTACGATTGATCTCTTTACTAACATTTGTCTATGATCTAGCAGATACAATGACATAAAGTAGAAATTGTGGCTTATAAATTGTTGCATATTTATTTCCAGATTCCTCACTTTTCTATTGTCAGTGTCTGGTTTAATTGTCAAATCATTGCCTAAATTTCTAGGCAGTAATCCAGACTATATATCAGGGTCTTACTTTTCAAAATGTTAATTACACTCTTACCTTCACAAACACAGATGTTAACTAGTTACAGCAATGCCACAACAGCTCATTTGGACCGCAAGCTGGACAATTTAAATGCATTTTTGCAATATTTGTAAATTTCTCATGGGAAAATAAATGAGCAAGAGTGTATCTCAAAGGTTTTACTTAGGATTTAGATTTGCAAAAGTGAAAAAATATCTGATTATTACGTATAGATTATTACTATTTATTATGTTTCTCAGAAACTTCCTTTTATCATTCGATGCAGGCAATTTTTGTACCTAAGTTTTATTTTCACAAAAAGCAGAGACCAAAAAGGTAAATAATCAAGCAACACTTTTACAACACAATCTTTCTTCTTTTTGTTTTCTTGTTATATATGTGTTAGATGTGCATTTTGAAAATCAATGAGATTATTTGGGTTTTTTCCTGCTTAATGTCGGTAAAGCACAAGGCTCTACAGGCTTGTAATAACATCTAATTCCAGCTAATCATCAGCTATTTCTTTCCACATCAAACTGGAGGAAAACTGGGTTTTTTCTTCCCATCTAAAGTCAATATAATACTCTTGAGAAAAGAAATGACCTTTTGCCGCAGAGCTGGAGCAGAATACTAATGCCTACAATTCACACTTTCCAGTGCAGAACTCGTCAATACACATCAGAGCGTATTGATTAGCAATACATTGGTTTAATAGTCGTAAAAGTGCAATTGTTCCACGTCATTTTATAATTTTGGTTGTAAAAGGTTTAAACCCCTTTTCATTTTGTAGACAATTCATTTTCTGTAGGGCTATGTTTTTTTTATTTTCTGTGAAGACATTCCTGAAAGATTAATGATACATAATTACTTTCCATTAGTAATTTTGGACAATATTATACAAAATACTCCCCAAGAAATCACATTGCAAATCACAAACAAGACATATTTTACATATATTTGATTATTTGAAAAACGTTTGATTTAAATGTATTGATGATGTATTTAAACAGGAAAAAAATCCTAATTTAATCAGATAAAAATGCTTTAGATGCAGTTATATATTTAAAAGGAATTAAAATCATATATATTTTTACATAGACTCTCGCAAACAAAATGTATTGCTTTAATCTAAATTTCTTCATTCAAATTGTTTTATCCAGCTAATGTATGTAACTCTTACTGTTTTTGTCTGTTTTTTTAAAGGATCTGTCTTCTTTTAAAATACATCTTTTCTGGAATTAAAAACATGTAACAGAATAATTTTTTAAAAATTTATGTGTATTAAAGATTCCAGCTACTGGTTTTCTATAATTCTTTTCAGAGAATTCTAAAAATAAAATATTTTATTTGGAGTTTGAATGTTCCTTAAAACTTTTGAGAATTATTAAAAGTCACAGTTGTCATGGACGACGTTTTGTTTTCAGCAGGTTGACATCAATTTTTTTTTTTTTATCTGAGTCAGTTTTATTGAGTCACTATGCTAATTCAGAAATAGATAAATGGCAGCAACAGTTTGTTGATCCTTTGCAGCAGACAGGTTGGATTCATTGCATCTTTTCTGCACCAGAGAACACTGAAATAAATATGTTGTCATGTTTGTCGTTATATGTTCTAATTTTCCCCTCAAACCTTGTAATTTATAACCAGCAACAGAAATTCAGGCTTTCTGCTGCTCTGTGTGGCTTAACCAGATGGGTTTCATTTCACCTTTGTTCTGCCTCGGTGGCCATGTCTGTTTGAGAGGACAGTAGGATTATTTGTGCAGGACAGCAGCGGGTCTTTGCTGTGATGTGTAGAAGGTATTATCATTGTCACAAAGAAGCTGTGTTTGTAGTGTTGTATTGGAATGTGATAAATTAAAGGAGTCTTACTGCCTCTTCAATATTTTCCTAACAGAGTATTAGGAAAATATTTGATGCAGCATTTGATTTAATGCTAAAAACTACAATATGAATATTACGTTTACCCATTTTTCTTGCCGCTTTTTGTCATTTACAATAAACACTGTCCCCACTGTGCAACATGAGTGCTTTAAGGCAGAGGGAGTCCATCCAAATACCAGTAATCACTTTAGATATCCTAAACCACATTTTATTACCAACAGGTATTTAGTGCAGACTAATATTTGATATACTGTTTAACTCTACTTGGCTTTTGGTTTTCAGTTTTCAGTATTAGCTACTGATATTCACACTCCTAAGGTTCCAGAACAAGGCTGTAATTTTGCATCTAAGTTTAAAGAGAAAATAAAGGAATTACACCAATAAATTAGCCTGTTAATTTAAAATTGAAATGTGTTTTGGTTGTGTGTTTTTCAGGGACAACCTGTTGGCCAGTGTGATTTCAATATTCGACTCCTGTGCATAGAAAAGGAAATAATTTCTCCACGCCAGGAAAAAATGAAGCTCGGACAGATCGACAAAGCCAAGGAGCCCTTCAGTGTCCGAAATAAGCCCTTCTTTGACATCCACGCATCGCGCAAGGTAACACGGCTTTTCAGATCCTTCCCCTCCCTTTAACTTGGCCAGATGTGACCCAGTTAAGATTCATCCTTTCTTTTGGTCATGCCAAAATGCACAAATCCAGGCAACCTAATTGTTGTACATGGTGTACACTCGTATGTAATCTGTCAGTTGCATCCCAGATTTTTTTTCTAGAGACTTTATTTTCCAGGGAAATGACTCTTCAAGGGCAAATTGGTCTCAAGAGAATGAGTTTCGGATGATGAAACATACTTGTTTCACCTTTATGCTATGGAAAGGACGAGCTCTAGGGAGGAAAAGAGCTCTCACTTGAGTGACGCCTTGGCTATTTCCCGCTGGGACTCATCCGGTGCAATCTCAAGTGATTGGAAGCCAGGATTACAATACCTTGCCTAGATCTGTCTTCTTAGTGTGAGCTTGAACACATATTTCTTGTGCTTTTTAGCCTTTTTGTTGACTTTATGAGAAATATTCCCTGTGATATTCAGTAGTGTTTTTCTTGTAAATAAATAAATGATCTGCTGAGGTTATAAAACAGTCAGCTGAAAGCAGCAAAGCTTTTATCACCTCAATGGCTGTTAAGCCTTCCTCAAAGGTCTGTGCTCTCGCGTCTTCTCTCAGGTCTATAGGGGTTCAGAGCACAATTAATTTTGTGTTTGGCTCGAACAAAGATCAGTTGGAAATCTTGGTATGTCTTGCTGTGACCTCAGATGATCAAACTGCAGTGAACGGGTGATATTTTGTATGTTTTTTTGTTGTTGTTTTTTTTCATGTCTCCCAACTCCAGTTTCTGAGTTGTTCATTGTTACCTCAGGTCTAACCCTGTGCTACCCACTTTTCTAAGAATCCCTGTGAAGGATCAACTCTGGATGTTTTTGGGTTCATTTTGATGAAGATATTCTGGAAATGAAGTCACTGGTACGCTGTACGGCTTCTGAGCGCCCCATTGTGTCCCTTAGTGGCCATCTGCTCTCTGTACAGTCATATCTCTGTTGTATGGGGCATTGGCTCAGGATAACTGGAATCAGGCTCATTAATTCATCTCAGCACAAACCTCCACTTCATGGTGTATTGACCACAAATTCTTTCGAGGGACATTTCAGTTGTATGAAGACTTTTGTCTGTTTCTAAGCTTCTGTTTTTTATCTAATTCACTTGCACATTTAAGCTGTCATTTCCCCACCAATTGGGGGTATTTTTCGGTTTCACTTCCTCCACTTATTTTACAAGGAACCCTTTTGTTTTAGACGGACTTGGACACCAAGACAAAATGATAGTGTTTTTTGGATTTTCCCATTAAATTGACAGGAAAGAGGAAATAACTACATTTAGCAGCAATTGTATATGAGCTGTTCTGTTCATTTTTTTTGTAAGATGTTGTGTAATATGCACTAAATGTAAGAATTTTATGGGCAAATTTATTAGTGTATAGTCAAAATGATCAATAATATAAGATTAAAGACTGCATTCTCCCTCTGGGTTTTATCATTGCTGACTCAAATAAGCCCAGATATTTCATTTTGTCTTACTGAAATTTACTGCTGCCCCAAACATAATAAAAACAACTAGTTAGAAAAATGTCTAGTTTAGAGTATATATATATATACTACTATAAACTAGTAGATTTGTGGCTACACTTATTTATTTATACTTTTTTATGTAAAGAAACATTCTTAATAGACGTCTTTTTTGTAAAAGGGGAATGTTAAATTGACTGAAGACTGTATTTGTTAGAGACTCATGCGTTCTCCTTTCTGAATTAGAAATACATTCTGGGCTGGAATACTAGGCCTTTTTTACTCTTCGAATTTAATAGTATTGGCAATTTTCTAAGAGGATTAGTTTACATGGCGGAAACCAATGTTCCCTCTTGGATAACAGAAATGAGTATTAGAGTTTCAGGCTGTAACAAGTGGTGATTTTTACAAAAAGCTTCCATTCAAGCATTTCGATGGGTTTTTCAAGCTTTCTGTGTACAAAAAAATGTGGTTTAATTCTTTAAAGCATGAAACATTGTCATGTATTGTAATGACTAAATATTTATAACCTCAGCTCTTCAGTGAATGGCCCTAATTTGATTCATTGTGTCTTAAAGCAAATGAAATTTACGGTGAATATATTTGATTAATATTCAGAAAAAATGGAAAAATAAAACTAAATTTAGTTGGATCTAAAGGTATTAAAGGGGCCCCTCTCACAAGTTCAGATTGATAGAAAAAAACTAAAACTAGTTTGCATTTAAGAGTCAAATGTCTTATCAAAATCCTGTCCTAATATTGTAATAACGTATTGGGTGTCACCTTATTACAGCAGTTTAGATTAAAGCTTATTTAATACTAAATAACTAATAGGAATTACTCAGGTTAAAAGCACAATATAGTGAAGCGGTTTTTGTTCCAATACAGATCAAAATTTAAGTAAAAGCTGCAGTGAATGCATGATGCATGAGATAAAGTAATACGATGGGGTGATTTGAAAGATATTTGAGTTACAGTTGTATAAAAGCTGTCGCTGTGATGCAAACGTGCCGTATACATAACGTGTATGAGTCACACTGTTTGTGTTGCATGCATCCAAAAAATCTATAGCAGCTTGTCTTATCTGAACATCAAAGTGTGTGTGCTACCTTGTTATATTTCTAGAAAGGTGATGATGGAGCATTAATTGCCAGATGTGTTTTAAATCTGATCATTTTCCTGCCGATGTTTGAAAGTTGTCAGCACTAAATAAATAACAAAAAAAAGATTAGGAAAAATCAGCATTTACTTCTGGCCTTTGTAACACTTGCAACCTCCTCGGTTTAGATTCAAGAAGAAACTGCATCTTTTCTCTCGCTCTTGCTCTTGCACCCACTCACCGAGGGAAACATGTTGTCTGTTGTATAAGGGCTTATGCTGCTTGGAAGAGCACACGACATAGACTCAGTGACTAATGTTTGTTTACCTCTGCAGCCTTGAGAATTTTTAGTTTTTCCTCAAGCCTCCAAGACATTATGCAACAACTGATGATGCTGGCTGTATCCATACACTAAAGGTCAGACTCACTGGCGAGAGAGTATCGACTGTAGCGACTTGTTTACTTTTGCTCCGCTTACCTGCTTTCCTTCTGCCTGCCAGGATCAGTTAATTTACCCAAGGAAAGCAGTGTGCATTCTCTGGGTCAGGTCAACAGGTGCTTTTAATGCTTTTTGGACCACTGTGCAACAGCTGTGCTTCATCTTTATGCCTTTAGTCTGCTGTACCTTTTCCTCCTTTTGACCTTCGGGGTTATCTTGACCTGCTATAATAGATTTGCAGGAAATGGTGTTTGACTTTTTATAGATTTCTGCTATTTTGATTTGTGGCCACACTTAAATGTTTCTGACCAAACAAATAAACCAAATAAATATAAAAAGCTATTTGTAAATAAGTAAAAAGGACTCCAAGCCAGACTGGTGCTTAAAAAAGAGACATGATTGCCCTCTTAATATGGTGATTGTGCCACCCTTGGTGACAACATTCATCTCCAGGCTTTGCTATAACTTGTGCTGAGTCTTTTGCATCACTGTGACCCAATCCTTTTTGCAGAATTGCTTCAATTCAGCCTCATTTAAGGGTCTTTAAATATAAAAGTTCTGTTCAAAGTTAACCAGAGATATTTGGATTAAATGCAAACTCAGACTTTGATTTGGCCATTCCGAACTGTTAATTCATCGTTGTGCATTAACATTACGCTCAACCCAAAGACAGGTGAGTGTAATGTGACTAACTTACATTCCTCTTGAAGAATTTATAGTCCCATCAGTTATGGCAAGCCCTCTAGTACCTTTTTGTAGTAGTACTACTTTTCTAGCAGCATGTCATGCATTTCTGTTAACAGATCATTTATAAATTTAATGGGAATAAAATGTATTTGTATTGGAATACTTAGAATATACCTAAAAATCTAACTATTGATTTTATATGTGCATTTGAACTGCCCCGTGATTGCATATATTTTCTAGCTTAATATAAAAGAACAATTTATGATTCACTTTTTCTACAAATGCAGTTTCATGATGATTGCTTTAATTACATTTTTTCTGGATCACTTGATTTCTTAATTTCAGAGCTTGTAAACTAAGGATAATGTCAATGCTCCAATCTAATTATGTATACTAAGCAATTCAGCCTGCATGCATATAGACAGCTATTAAAGTAATTTTCTCCTGAAACGCTTATAAACCAGAAAATCGGATTTACCTCAACCTTCTGGGTTTGTATTTAAGCACCTTTTCGTTTATTCTAATTGGAATTTTTTTTTATTCTTGTGGTCTTATCTACCTGCTCTGTAATTATTAAGGCACATACCTTGCTCCTAGCAATTAGTACTGTGCTACTGTACTAATGTTCCCTTCAGTGCAGTAGATTTGAAATAAAGAACATATGGCTTTACTTGTACCACCAATCACAAAAGAGACTACTTCAGGTATGTCAAAAACTGTTTCTATTAAGGCAGGGAATGGAGAGGCGCATGATTTTATTTTATAAAAATCTAAAGTGTTTGCCTCAATTTCCGATGACAAATTGAGAAAAGCACAAGCTTTTTGTTTCTTCAGTCAAACGGTACAAAAATAAAAGGATTGCGCCTCACAGAGCAGATGGATAATGACACATAACACACTGTGAAAGCATCCCTAAAGCTTCCTCTAAATGACTATGTTTTCATCCACACAATGGAAAACTGGAGGCAGCTGTGGAGGAATGCTGTAGAGATGAACTTAGTTACAGTAATGACCACTTAAAGCATCTCAGGGATGGAGAAAGGGTTTTTGTCAGTGTTGGTTTGTCCAAATACTTTGAAGCTTGTTAAAGAGCTTTTTGACAATCTGCTGTCACTCAGCAGGTTTCAACACATCACTGCTGTGTGGACAGTTTTTTTTTTTTTTTTTCCAGTGGCAGTGTGACAAACTATAGGTAAACTTCTTTTGGGGACTACGCAGAGTCCGCAAATGTGGACAAATCTGGACCGGTTAAAGTCAC